AAAAAAAAAAAAAAAAAAAAAAAAAAAAAGTGTTGACTCCTAAGACTGAGGACAGGGGAATGGGGTATGACTGCTTTATTTTGGGGTGATGAAATACTCTAAAATGTATGTGGTAATGGTTATATAACTCTAGATACATTTCAAATGGATGAATTGTATGATCTTTGAATTATATCTCAGTGAAGCTTTTTTTAATAAATTATTTTTGTTTCTTTTTTTCTTTTACTTTTTTTGGTATCGGGGATTGAACTGAGGACCTTGTGCTTGTGAGGGGGCAGTGGTACCACTGAGCTGAATAACCGGCCCAGTGCAGCTGTTTTTAAAAGTAGTGCTTGTCACTACCATTCTGTATTTCCTCAGTTCCAGTTTTCATCATAGCATTTATGCAACATGTAATATACTCTTTTTACATATTCATCCTGCCTGTTATCTTCTATTTTCTCCCTCTAAAATATAAATTCTGGCTGGGGATGTAGCTCAGTGGTAGAACACTTGCCTAGCATGTACAAGGCCCTCAATTTGATCTCAGCACTGGAAAAAACCATATATATACACATATATATTTATATATAAAGTGTGTATACATATGTTTTATATATGTATATGTTTATTATATACATTTCTTCTGGGTTTTTTGAGACAGTGTCTCAGTGTTGCCCAGTCTAGCCTCAAATCCTTGAGCTAAAGGGAGCCTCATTCCTCAGCCTCCTGTTTTTATACATATTTTATATAAGTTTATATATTTTTTCCCAAGAGGGAAGGGTCTTTATTTTGTTCTTATTGTATCACCAGTGCTTGAACAGGGCCTGACACATGATAAATACTCAGAACTATGTGTTAACTGATACAATATGCTAATCTTAAGACTTCAAATTCTTTTTCATACCTTCTTATCCATGAAGTATAAAAAATACTACACTGTGCTCACTTCACCCTGCCCCTCACTCCAAAGCAGCTAGGTGAGCTGCTGCTTTTCCAACCAGCAATTTGAAATATATTGGTATATAGAAAAGACAGTTAACTAGTAGGTTTTATTCTGTTCTCAAAGTATTCATTTGACAGTTTATTAATAACACCAAGTTCAGTGTTGGAAATGGGGAGCTTATAAAAAATAATTATATCATTCCTGTCTTAATGTTAACATAGCAAGATAAAGTCTATTAGAATTTTACTTTAAGCATTGTTTTGTTTTGTTCTTTGAGACAGTATCTTTCTTTGTAGTGCAGGCTGGCCTTGAACTCAGGTGATTCTCCTGCCTCAGCCTCCCGAGTGCAGGGATTACAGGCTAGTTAAATATTCTGTGCATTTTTTACTTCAAATTTTTATTTTTAATAGTACATGTTTGCAGTGCATAATGATTACATTCATTGTGAGGAGTTGGTACATATACGTAACATGTTTTAATTCTTTACATCCCCTTCCCCTGCACCCCCATCCCTTTTCATTCTCAAAAAATCTATCTCTCTGTTTCCTATTATGTAATATTTTGTTTTATTTTTGTTTTGTTTTGAGACAGGATCTCACTTTGTAGTTCAGACTGACCTTGAATTTACTGTACATCCCAGGCTGACCTTGAACTTGCAGTGATACTCCTTCCTTGGCCTCCTGAGATGTGTTCCACCATACCTGGCTATTTTATGTTTTTGGTTGAAAACTTATGTGAAGGATTTAAGAAGTGGGCTATAAAATAAATTCAATCTTAAAATATACTTTTAAAATGTAGCACAGGGCCAGGGATTTAGCTCCGTGGCTCTGTGCCTGCCTCACAAGCACAATGTCCTGGATTTTTTTTTTTTTTTTGTATCAGGGATCGAACTCAGGACCTTGTGCTTGTGAAGCAGGTGGTGGAACCACTGAGCCAAATCCCCGGCCTTCAAGTTTTAATAGGAAAGCTCTCTTACTTCATTCCCAACATTGAACCGCTCTGCCTTGTCCCTCCAAGGGCCCCTAATGCACTTCTGGAACCTTGGGAATTTTGAAACACTTGGAAAAATCACTGATCTAAGCTTAGCTCTCAGTGTTACAATTCTCATTTACTTTGGGTTGTAGATAACTGCAACTAAATATTTTTGCTAGAATGTATAGAAGTTTTAGGTTGTGGTTCTGCTGCCTGCCTGGCAAGCGTAAGATCCCGGGTTTGGTACCAAAAAAAAAAAAAAAAAAAAGTTTTAAATTCATGAAATCAGCACAAGGTACACTTCCCTAGTGTGATTTTTTAAATAACTACCACTTCCTAGATATTAATATGTGGTAAGGATTTTACCCACAAATGTCATTTAGTCTAAGAAATCTGTTGTAGATAGCATCTCTGTTTTAGAGATAATGAATCTGAGCCTCACAGAGTTTAAATAACTTTCTCAAAATCACACGGATACTAGTGGTAAAACCATGACAAACTAAATCTATCCCAAATATAAAATAAAGTTAGTCTTGATAAAACAGTGCCTGAGAGCTGGGCAAGGTGACACACCTGTAATACCAGCACTTGGGAGGCTGAGGCAAGAGGATCACAGAGCTCCAGGCCAGGCTGGACTATATAGTGAGCTCAAAGCCAGCCTGAACTGCACAGTCAGATCCTGCCTCAAAAAAAAAAAGTCACACATACCTCATCTGTTCCTCTTAATCTGCACTCCCCCTCAAAAAACCCAATTAGCCAGGGCTGGTGGTATATGTCTGTAATCTTAGCACTGGGGAGACTGAGGCAGGAGGATCACTGTGAGTTCGAGGCCAGCCTCATAACAAGACCCTATCTCAGAAAGAAAGTGGGGTAGAATTATGTTTTCTTTTGAGTCATCTGTCTTTACTATAATTTGAATATTCATAATTTTTAAAATAAACACCCTAAAAACTTGGAAGGTTGTTTCTGTTTCCTCTTTGTAATAATTTACTTTGTCAGGTATTGTCTTAATAAGTTAAGCAATTGATCACTTTATAGTAATAGTTCCTTATCTGGAGATGTTTTGTTTTGTTGTCTTTAAATTGGTGAGTTAGAGTTTTTAATTAATAAATTTTATTTTATCCCATTCCCCACCCGCAAGCCCCCTCCCCTTGCTATATACAAAAGATTTGTTTCTATTTTTTTCTTCTGTTTTCACTTCTTTTCTTGGTGGTGAGTTAGATTTTTATCTCAGATTAAGAAACAGCTTTCCTGAGTTACAATTTTTGTTCTTAATTTTACTAAATTTTTAAATTTTACCAGAATTCTAAAAGTGAGCTTTCCGCTATAGGTCATGGCCATTGCACCAACACATTATATCTGGCAACGAGAACGCTCTGTACACCACAGTGGAGCTGTCAGAAACTACAACAGAGAGCAAGTTCAGCTGCCCCGAGGACCTAGTGCCACACCAGTAGATTGCTCAGTCTGTGGTAAAAAAGGAAGATGCGTTAGGCTGGGATTGTCTTCGTCATCTTCATGCAGTGATGTAGGAGAGCTGACGGAAAAACACTCTGGAGAATCACACAATCCATTGTCAATGGACATAATAAGTGAACCTTCTTATTGTTACAGTTATTCTCAAGGTATGATTTAGTAATAAGACAATTAGATTGATTTATTTTTTCAAGACAGTTAGATTTATGCATGTTATTTATTGAGCCATAGTACTAGCAGGCAGGGATATATCATTATTTACACACTAAGCAAGGAGTTAAATTAGTATTGACTTTTCCCCTTTTTAGTTGCCACTTTTTATCTTGTGTCTATATCTCCTTTATGGTATCTGACAAAATGAAAGGGCTTTTAATATGAAATATGTTAAATTGAAACCTAATGCACCAGTAAGCCTCAAGTATTAGAACTTCTTTGAAATGTTTATTTTATCCAAAAAGAATTTCAAGAAATAAATTTGTTTGTAATCTCATCATCCAACTATCTGTTTTCTTCTGTATACTTCTCTATTTCTAATAAAATTAGACCCCTCTATATAGCTAGGCCAGCTCTTTTGCTATGTATCACAAAGCATTTCCCAAGTCATTATTTAGTCTGAAAACCTCATTTTTTGTCCTGGCATGGTATAAGTGCCATAATTCATTTGCATATTTCATGGTTTTTGCTACTTTGTTGATTATATTATTTAGAAAGTATATTAGCTGGAAATACAACCACGTACTTTTCAAATTATTTTTATATAGTATTTCCCTGACATTTCTATATTTGAAATAATACTAGAATAATGTAATGATAGTGATCCTTTTTACTTCTTAGAAAGCCTTTCTTCCAGATTTTACCCACCTGAAGACAGGACTGAGATTTCTTGTCCTTTCTAATTCTGTCATCACTAGGAGTAGTGGCCTGCAACCCCATCCACTCAGGAAGCGAGGAGAACCACATATGCAAGGCTATCCTGAGCAAGAAAAAAATTTTGATTAAGGTGTGTTAGCACACACCTGTCATCCCAGAACTCTGGGAGGCTTAGGCAAGAGGATCAAGAAGATCAAATTGAGATTTGAGACCAGCCTGGGCAATTTAGTGACTTAGGGAGACCCTTTTTCAGAATGTAAAAAATGTTTGAAAAGGGCTGGGTTTAATTCCCTGTACAGAAAAGGAAAAGAAGGGAGGAAGGAAAAAAAGAAGGGAAATTAACAAACCTGCATTATTTCAGAATTTTTACTTATTTTTAGCACATTTCTATGAGAGTAAAAACACTTTTATTTGTATTAGTATGTGTTTACAGTATATAATGATTGCATTCATTGTAGAGTTGGTACATGTACATAATGTTAGGCAAAAAGGAGGAAAAAACAAAGGCACGAGCTCAACAGGACAGGTTTATTTAGGACAAACCTGAGGGGACCATTTGGCACTTGGACCAGACTGGCGACTTTCATACAGAGGTCTTTTATAGGGTGGTGAGCATGAAGGACAAGCTGTGAAGGAAAAGTTCAAACTAAGCCTTTCACAGGGGAGAGGCCAGTGAAAAGAAGGTGTGGCTGCCTTCCGGGACAAGGCTGAGAATTAGGGAGTGCTGGCTGCCTGCCAAGAGCAGAGCTGACAGATGTGGTGGGAGGGATGTTATGGGTATAGCCGTGGCCACTGGGCCTTAACTACGATGATACAGCTTTAGCAGGTCTAAAAGCATAGCGGAAGGAAAGAGCCTCCAGTCAGCCTAGGATGGCTAGTGGTCAGACTCCTTCACATAACACATCTTGATTCATTTTATGTCCCTTTCTCTTACCCACCCTCCCCCATGAGAGTAGCTGAGTGATGAAGGTTTACTAAAGGAGAAACTGCCAGTGATGGTGAACCTTTTAGTGCTTTCAGTGATACGAACAGCCCGCTGTGGCATGCGTGCTGTAGGTTCACCACTGCTGCTCTGGACCCTTGAAGGTAGAAGTTGTGCCTCAATACCTGTCCCTGGTCTTGGTAATCACTCAACTTTTTTAGTTTTTATTTTTTTTTTTTTTGTACCAGGGATTGGAGACCTTGTGCTTGCGAGGCAGGCGGTGGAACCACTGAGCTAAATCCCCGGCCCTACAATCACTCAACAAATTTGGCTGACAATCTAGTTCTCCCCTTAACACCTCCAAGCATAATTTCTGTTGTTTCACTAATACATTTGAAGGTAGATAAGGATAGGGTCCATCCCTCCCATCTCCTAGCTCCTCTGTATATGTTTTTGACTCGTAATAGGTTAATATTTACTGTACATTTAAAATGTCCCAGGCAAGCCAGAGACATGCCTATAGTTCTAGCACTTGGGAGGCTGAGGCAGGAGAATCACAGTGAGTTCAAGGCCAGCCTGAACTTCATAGTGAGTTCAGGGGTCATGCACATGTGCACACACACACACACACACACACACGTGCTTTTAAGAACTAATCTGGTGCCAGAGACTCCTGAATAGCTTCACTGAGTAGGTGGTTGCTTGTGGGTCAACCAGGGTGCCAATTGCCAGAGACTCCCGCAGTGTCTAGTCCCCACCTGCCCAGTGTGTGATGCAGGCCTGAGAAAAAAGTACACTGAGAGGCAGAACTAGGAGAGAAAGCGGGGTGCCAGAACGACCAGTGCAGGTGCAACCGACAGAGGTGCTGGCCAGTCCCAGGCATTGGCTTTTATTGGCAATCAGTTGGGGTAAAGGCAAGTTAGGAATGGTCTCTATGGAAAGTAATGTAAACG